GGGTGGGGGCGGGGAGGGGGGGCTGCGAGGTTAGGAAACATTTCTTTGTTGTTAAGGCTTATTAAAACCTGTCAAGTGTGACAGGGCTTTTTTTTTTTTTTTCCTTTAACACATCCTGGTCCACTTAGAGTTGAGAGTCAGAAAAAGTGCTTGGCACAACGATTTAGCAGGAAAGAAAGCTATTTTAAAAGTCTTTTGGGAACATGTTTGTGCAACAGGAAAAAACATACAATTGGGTTGATAATAGCAGCGCGTAAAGGTTAGAGCCGCTGGAATGGGTTTGCCATCTTTTTCACAGGGAACGCGTTGTCCTTCGGCGGCGGCTCACACTTAAGCCCGGCTTATTTCGGCAAGGAGCCCCTTCCTGCAGACTTCTTTTACACTGGAAAGTCTATTTTTAAATCACAACCCAGACACAGTCCCAAGAGTTGATAATTAAATTAAGCAGTGTTTGGGATATGCGAGATTACAGCTGCTCCCAGGGAAACCCTGCCCGCCCATGCCTGACCGTCACATGCAGGTGTCCACTGGTGAATTCCCCTGAGCCGCTCAAGTTCCTCACTGTCCCCTGTCTCCATCACATGGCCTGGCTCACTCCTGCATCCTTGCCTTTGTGTTTCTAGGTCTTCATCCCTAGAAAGCTGGGCTCTTCATCCTCCGCTCATATACATCCTCGATGACTTGAAATTCATTCGACACTAATGTTTGCTTGTTTTGGGGAACAGGGAGGTTGGTTTTTCGAGATAGGGTTTCTCTGTAGCTTTGGAGCATATCCTGGTACTCACTCTGTAGAACAGGCTGGCCTTGAACTCACAGAGATCCGCCGCTTCTGCCTCCAGAATGCTGGGATTAAAGGCGTGCGCCACCACCACCTTAGACACTAATGTTTGCAAAAGTGATCAAAACTAATTTGCACACACATTATCATAGTATATAGTTTTGTTCCTTCATACTAAAGACAGCTCATTCCAGACCAAATGTCTAGGACATGATGGGGTGTGTGTGTGTGCCCATTTCAAGGTTTTCTTTCACAGATCTCTACAGTCATGAAGACAAGGCTTCTGGAGTCATAAAATGTCTCAGCTGGGCTCAGGATCCCCCGTTCCCCAAACCAACACTTTTCTCAATTGTCCCTGAATCAGCCATTGATTCCTATCCCAAAACCCAATATCCATTTCTGGGAATGATCTATACTTTTAAGTTACTAAGTCCTCAGATCACCCAAAATGAAAGTTTTCTAATATCACAGGCATTTAAATATGTTTTTCTGTGTCTTGATCACAGTGAGCTGTTGAAACCAATCAACATGGGCTGAGTTCTAGAAGTCATGAAACTGAAACCTAGCTCCCTGTCTGGGTTATTAATGAAGATGCCCTCTCTGGTTATTCTCATATTATGTCATTGATGGCACGCAAAGTTCCAGCTGTGCATGTGTACACACATACATGTACACACAATGCACCCCCCTCCTTTTCCCCTTTGTAGTCAATCCCTTGGTGAGACTCTACTCTCACGGCTCCATCTAAACTTACCACCTCCAAATGTTCCATTTCCAAAAATGACCACTTTGAAAATTAGCATTGATGTGAACCCTGGGGTGGTGGAGAGAGGCATAAACCTTCTACCTGGACTTTCGTCTCTTTCCAATCCCATCTCGTTTGTTCACGTGATAGTTTACCCAGCTCACTTGCTTAGAGTGCTTTGCTGTAGACTTCCAATATGAATCATTCTCTTCAACAGTGTGCTTTTTTCTCTTTGAATTAATCCTTCTGATTTCCGGAAGGAAATTCTGTCATGCATTTTTAATTTTTTGAGAATTTCATATGTAAGTGCCATATTGACACCATTTCCAGCCTTTCATTTTTCACCAATACTTCCCTATGACCACCCCTCAAATTTATGACCTCTTCTTTATTTTTGGTAAACGCATCCCTCTCCCCTCACACTACTGATCCCATTTAGTGTCGCTTGTGTGTACATGTTTTTAAGACTGAACTGTTGGGACTAAATAAAACTAGATAATCCAGCAGAGGGCTCATTCTTGGAGGAAAGTGATTGACCCTCTCTCTCTGTCTCTGTCTCTGTCTCTGTCTCTCTCCCTGTCTCTGTCTCTGTCTCTCTGTCTCTCTCCCTGTCCCTGTCTCTGTCTCTGTCTCTCTCTCTCTCTTGTCATGATTGTTCTTCATCTAGGACTAGGCCATCACTCTTCAGATCCATTGAATTTAAGTGCTAGCTGTGTGACCCAAGCTAGTGGGAGTTCACTGATTCCAGACTGACAGCTGGGGGACCTGTATGGAACCTAACTAGGCCCTCTGAATGTGGGTGACAGTTGTGTGGCTTGGGCAGTTTGTGGGATATCCAGTATTTATTCCTAGTGAATGAACTGGCTCTTTGGAGCCCATTCCCTTGCTCTGCCTAGCTACTGTGGGGAGGGCCTTGGTCTTGCCTCAAGTGGTGGTGACAGACTTTGTTCACTCTCCATGGGAGGGCTCACCCTCTCTGAGGAGTGGGTGGGGGATGGGGTGGAGGGAAGAAGGGGGGAGCAGGAGGAGGGAAGGGAGAGGGAACTGGGATTGGTATGCAAAATAAAAAAGATTGTTAAAAAAATAAAAGTGTTAGCTATGAATTACTAGCAGGGCATAGAATATACTAGGCAGGGGATGATAAATTCTTAAATCTTTTTTTTTTTGTAGAAAATATTTACCTTTACTTTGGTAAAAGAAATCCTTAAGTATCTAGATCATGTGACTGGAAGACATGTTGTGTGCCATTTTGTAGGTATTTTGTGCTATTTCAACCACATGGTGAAGAGTGAAGCTTGCTTAGTCTAAAATTAGTGAACTTTCTCCTCTACAACTTTCCTCAAAGCATTTACAAACCAAACCAAAACTTAAAGTCAAAAGTGTGTGGTCACCCAATGAGGGATTTCAGAACTGTAACTGACGTTAAATATGGCTGGAGTCAAAGGCTCTGATGACGTCATTGACTTCTCGACAGTGGTAGGTTACACATGGTAAAAGGATGCATAAGAGAATACCTTGACATGGTACCCTACCTGCCCTTTAGCTACAGTAAGAAGATGTGCTCTTCCAACGACCCTTCCAGAAGGGAGGATCCTGACTCTATCTCCATGGCTCATTCAGCCTAAATCAGAGGGTTCGTTAGCCTGATCAGTGTTGAGTCACGTCTTACTTCTACTAATTCTTTCCACATTAGATGTAGAGAGAGTGCTGCATTTTTTTTTTTAAATGGCTCCCTCCCACCTTTTACTAATTGGGCTGATATTGGCCACTTGCCTTTTCAAATAAAAAGAGTGTGACCAAAATGACCGGAAAATGGCTAATTATGCCCACAATGGGGAAATTATCCCCATGAGTAAATACTCCAAAGTATAAAATGAAATCCCAAACACGATCACAAAGGAATCTCTCTTAATAGTTATTCAGCCATCCAGCCGGAATACTCATTAGATAAGCAAGTCAGCACAGAGCCGCTGAGCTTCTTTGGCGTGTATCCTAACAATGTTAGTGAAGGCCCTTCCACCGCCTTGAAGTCAGATTAGAAGGCTTCATGTAGCCATCTTTAAAAAAAAACTTAGAATGTTATTTTTTTTATGATGCCACAATATACAAAAATTTTGCTAGAGCTTTTGTTCCTACAAGCTCACTATTATTCATCCAAATGATTCATTTTCATTGTCAGAGTCAAACTCTTAGACTATTAGTAGTTGGAGACCCAAGGAAAATATTCCTAAGATAATAAAAACAGACCAGAAACAGTGTTAGGAGATTGGTGTTAAGATGTTAGGGTTGTAGGTCTTTAAAATGGTTTATTTACTTATCTTCTATTTATTTGCATGTATGTATGTCTGTGTGAGTATATGTTTGGGGAACAACATGGTACCTAAAAGGGGGGAGAGTGAGATATATTCACACACGTGTAGAGATATCAGTGATTGTATGAACAGAACCTGTGAAGCTGTGTTCACGGTAATCTAACAAATCGATATGGATGTCTTTGTGTCTTTGTGATGCCAGCAGGGCATAAGTCAGAGCTGCCAGGCTCTGTGGCTCATCAACTCACCAATCCCAGGAAACCTGAGAGCTCCCCAGCCCCAGACGAAACTTGTTACTTAGTGATGAATTTCACTTTGCTATCGTTTTACATTCCTTAACCAGGCATCCTAATACGTTATTATCACTGTGCTAAGAGCTCAGAAAACTACACGGACACGTACCTCTCTTTAATATAAATGCAGGTATCCCTCTTACCCCCCCCCCAGAAAATTGCTTTTTTCTGTTTCTTTAAATTGATTCTGGATGATAATTGAAGTTTCAGAAAACCATACCCATTGTTTTAAAATAGAATGATTGAAAGTACTTCTAAATCACATAAAAATATAAATATAGAGAAGTCTACTAAAGTTATAAATATCTTAGAAAAATATGTTAACAAACCAATGAAGAAAGAAAAATGTGAGTGCTAATATTCAAAGTCATTTTCTTTGTTTATTTGTTTTTATGAGACAGGGTCTCTCTGTATAGCTCTGCCTGGATTCAAATTCTCCTTGCTACTGTGGCTGGCCTTGAACTCACAGAAACCTGCCTGCCTCTGCCTCCAGAGTCCTGGGATTAAAGGTGTGCACCACCAGGCCTGGCAACATTTTTCTTGAAAATATAACCACTTTGAAAATTATTTGCTTGCAGTAAATATGTACATTTCTAGGCCAACTGTGTTCTTATTATATAATCTATTCTTTATATTGAAAATTACATTCAGGGACTAAGCTGTCCTATGGTAACTCAAACATAAGCAAAGAATCTAAATATCAGGATAAAGACTCTCCTTCCCAGTCTCATTTCTGTAGTTCATTAAAAATTAGAATAGCTTAAGAATATATAATTTTAGTAGAGGTATTACTTAGAAAATTTCAGTTTGTTATGGGAATAATTTTGTCTTGTTAGCATCATTACATTATGTTAAATCAATCCATATTTTAGGTCATGACCCTTGTAATTAAGAAGTTATTGAAGACAATGTCGAGTGTGGGCCAGGAGAAGATGTGATTAGAGTCTGGAGACGACCGTGTGTGTGAGTATTTGTAAATAAGGTTTTCCCCGGGCGAAATGCCACTAACAACTAGCAGCACACTAGTTACTAGACTGCAGAAACCTGGGTTCGTGTTTACAGTCTAGTGCCCTGTGTTTTAAGGCGTGAGAATCATACAGTCCTTCCTGATTTTCAGGTATACTCTTCAGATCTGAAAGAGCACGTCCAGGGTAGCTGATTGATAGAATAGAAACAATATTCAGAAGATTGCTTATGATTGAAAAAGAACAGCCACAGCTAGCTAGGTGAGTCAGCAGGGACAAATAGAGGAGCAAACTCAACCTGACAGCTGATGGAGTCTCAATCATGTCATAAGAAATCCCACACAACATGGCGTCATGTGGAAAAGGGATTCTAATTTTATTCTGAAAATGGTTATAGAATGAACGTCATGCCGTGTTTTCTAACAGAATTTAATCTAAAATTCAATGGCAAATATCTACTTATCTACTGAAGACTTTTTTTTTTTTTGAGGCAGGGTTTTTCTATGTAGCCTGGGAGCCTATCCTGGAACTTACTCTGGAGACCAGGCTGGCCTCGAACTCACAGAGATCCACCTGTCTCTGCCTCCCAAGTGCTGGGATTAAAGATGTGCACCATCACCACCTGGCAGTTTTTTATTTTCCGTGAGAAATCAACACTACATTTAAGTGTGTATTGTGTCTGGTGGCTGTCTCATGATAACCCAGATGTTTAAGATTAGTCTGTTAGAGTATATTACTAGGACGTCAGCTTTAGGAATTTCAGCCCAGCAGAGGCTGTCTCAGTATGCAGCTGGCAGATGATGTGTGAGAGGCCCTTTCACCAGCACAGAACACAATCAAGCATTAGAAATACAGTAATATTATTAATAATGCTCACCCCATAGCGTTATTTCAATGATGTAGATGGCTTTAAGAATATTCTTATATTCCTGACTTAAAAGAATTAATCGCTATATTTACCACTTTTCTTATTGTTTTAACAAAATATCTGTCAGGAAACAATATTAAAGGAAGAGGGTTAATTTTTGCCCATAATCGGAAGGTTTAGTCTATTTTGTCAAGGAAGCAATGACAGTAGGGGTTTGAACTCTGGTCGCTTTGTGTCCACAGCCAAGAAGCAGACAGCAGAGGATCCTCCCGTTTGGCCTGCAGACAGACAGCAGTGGATGCTCCCGTTTGGCCTGCTTGTCTTTTTGTATTTAGCTCATGATCCCAGGCCACAGAATTCTGCTCCCCACAGTTATTAACCCATCCAGTAGTTCCCCACAGTCATACGCACAGGCTGACTTAAAACAATTATTTATTTATTTTACATCCAGGCTGCAGTTTCCCCTCCCTCCTCTCTTCCCTGTCCTCCCCCCACATCCCCCCCACACTGTTTTTACTCCCAATCCACTCCTCCTCCATTTCCAGTTAGGAAAGGGTAGGTCTCCCATGAGTATCAACAGAACACGGGCACATCAAGTTGCAGTAAGACCAAGCACCTCCTTATGTATTAAGGCTGGGCAAGGAGACCCAGTATGAGGAGTAGGGTCCCCAAAGCCTGTATATGAGTCATGAAGGCCCTGTTCCCACTCTTAGGTTTCCCATCAGAGGACCAACCCACAAACTTGTGACCTCCATGCAGAGTGCCTAGGTCAGTCCCGACTTGTGCTTTAGTCCTCAGAGGCTAATTTAATGTGGATAATTCTTCACAGGTGTGCCTGGAGGATTGTCTTCCTGCGGATTCAAAACCTGTCCTTTGATAATTAGTATTAACATAAATTTAATCACAATTTTCTACAGTGAAAAATTAAGATTTGAAACCTTTCTTTTTTTCATCTCCTCCTCCTTTCTCTTCCTCCTCTTCCTCCTCCTCCTCCTGATAGAGTTTCTCTATGTAACAGTCCTGGCTGTCCTGGAACTCACTCTGAGATCCACCTGCCTCTGTATACCAAGTGAACCTTTTGGCTTGAAACTTCATTTTTATGTTGTTTGAATGTTAATTCTCAAGAAATTGGCCTGGGAATAATTTCCTTACTTAATTTAAAGTTAGGAAATTGCAGATAATGATGTATATATAATAAAATATAAAAGATAATTGTGTAAAGCTGATTCTGTTTGTAGTTAAATAATTTGTTTAAATTTTAGTAAAGGCAAGAAGCAAGATACTTTCCAATCACACAAAAATACTTCTACAAAATATTTTATTATTTGTAAATCAAATTAAACTAGAGTATATTTCACTAAACTCTGTTACACTTTAAGCCGTAATGTCCTCACTACTTGTATGACTACTAATCAAGTCCATAGGATTACTGTAGAATTATAACAGGTAATTTTCTTTTGAAGGAATTATTGATTGCATGAGTATTGAATTTTATATCTTTCATTTTTGTTACAGTTTGAACATACAGCACATTTCCTTTGGACTCTAAGGATGGAGAAGAAGCATATACTATATTTTGTGTTTCTCTTGCCTGTTAGTATGGTAAGCATTCATCCCCACATATTTACCTTACAATATAGCTCCAAACGATAAAAGTTAATAAATACAAGTTAAAGTAGTTATTAGATGAGTACATTGATTTCATTTTTATATTCAAGTAAAATATTCCACTTCTTCTTAGTATTTTTTATACTTTGAATTTTTATGACTAATATGAACTTTGGGGTCTTTGGAAGATTAGTGAATTCAAATGTGCAAAACTCCTGGTAAAATGGCAAAGTTAGAAAACAGTGGGATGACATTTCATGATAGTACAGTTACACACAGCACAGAAAATACACTTAGAGAGACACATGGGTTCTGTTATTTGTTGGAAGAGAAACCACATTCTCCTTTAACATTTTTTTTGTTCCACCAATTGATTGTCATCTAGGAGACATGTGCTGTATTTTGTATTCATTTACTCATTCATTCATGAAGTCGCTCATTCAAATAGCTCTTGGTGCTGAATTTGGGGCAAGCGTGTCTCCATTTGCATGTGTACATGCATGTGCATCTCGACATATGTGTGTTAGAGCTGTGAAGCCAGAAGAGGATTAGCAAAGCCAAAAGAATTGCATGCCTTCTGGTTTTGCTTCTTATTGATGTGTCTCTTCGTTTTGCCCTCTGCATCAAATTAAAGCAAGCCATGTTGCTCTTCTTTATATGAGCAAGAAACCCAGAGACCCATATAATCTCATCGGATTCTGTGACAGCAAAGACTTTTCCTCTGGTGTTTCCAATCAAAGCCCTCAAAAGTATTCAGACAAAGAAATTAAAAAAAAAAGTACTGAAAACTTCAATGAGCACACAAAGCAATATTATGTTTCTGTGAGTCCACACATTGGAAAATATCCTCAAGTCTAGAAGTAGTCTAGTGTCTGCACTTACGAGATGTTATCTTGAGTGGCTGACTAGACTTCAAAGGACAGACTGTTTCTTCCACTAACACCCTCAGTTAAGTGTGCCAACAAGCTACATGGGCCAACTTGAGTTCCCTGCAGGCAATATTGTCGATATTACCAATCAGCATAGTGTAATATAAAGAACTCGGACTCTTTCCCACAGACAGTGTGTAAATATATTTGAAATTATTATTACTTTTCTTGATTTCTACAAATGTTTTCAGAAAAATGGTTTTATGTGTTTTGTTTTTCTAATTCTGTCTTGGAATAGAATGTAGTTCAATCTACAGTGCTTGCTTAGCTTACCTGAGATGCTATGTTCAACCCCCAACACCGAAAAATAAAACCAAATGACTTAAAGTTGTCTGATGTTCTAGAATTTCATCGGTTACTCCCCAGGGTAACTCTAATCAGGAAACTCAAACCTGCAGAAAACAATTGTTAACCTTAGTGCTCATCAGGCAATATGATGCCATCCAGTGAGAAAATTATTACTTTAACGTTACAAGTGCACAAAACTTGATGATTTCCCATGTCATCGGTCCTCCCTGATATCTGGATGCTATTTTCTACTGTTTTACAATATGAAAGAGAGTCTTGCTAGTAGTGATGGATACCTTACCAACATTCACAGAGCAAGTAAAAACCCTGGGGGGCTATAGATATAGTTTTTGGCATTTCAGAACAAGTGTTCAGGTTGTGCTGGAGTCCACCAGCTACCATAGACGTGGGCGAGTCAATGGTGCTTCTCAGTGCTGGCGGTGGCATCGCCCTGAAGGCTGTTTGAAACTTGACACAGTAAAAGTTTAGACTACAGAAACTGGCAAATGCTACACACTGGGGGCTTTCCTCTTGAGAACCATTTAGCGATCAGGCGCCTCTCTGCTCTTACTGTTTTCCACCAGGTCTCTGATAAAGATTTCCACCATTCTAAAGCCATTGTTGTTTTCCTTCCTTAGACTCTCGTCGCGGCACAGGCAGAAGAAGAAGGCTTTAACCAAACGGGGCTGGGAGTCACTAGAAACAAGATCATGACTGCTCAATATGAATGCTACCAAAAGATTATGCAAGATCCTGTTCAACAGTCGGAAGGTAGACGCTGCTAATTCTAGATGCACTTAACACATATTTAAAAGAACTAGCTATGTGAGTTCTTTTCATCCAGTAATTAAAAGTTAACTAGTTACTTATTTTCTAGCTTATGTACAAGTTATGCATTTGTGAAGTGTGTTTATGACATGATTCAACTCACTCCTTTTATTGAAATTCAACAAAGTGCTTCTTACACAAAATTTTCCAGAATTATAAAAGGTGTAAAAATATAAAAAATATTAGTGGCATTAATATTAAAACAAGACAGTGCATTTTGGAATTTGAAAAGATACACTAAAAATAGCCGGGCGGTGGTGACACATGCCTTTAATTAATCCCAGCACTCAGCAGGCAGTGGCAGAGGCAGGGGACTCTCTAGGAGTTTGAGGCCAACCTGGTCGACCGAGTTCCAGGACAGCTTGAGCTGTTACACAGAGAAATCCTGTTTCGGGGGTGGAGTGGGGGGAAGAATGCATTTTCTAAAACATAATATACTTCACTTTTCCCTTAAAAAAATTAAGTACAGGGACACTAATTAATAACTGTCTCATGGTTAGAATAAAAGATAGCCTGATTTATAGAACAACAATTGCCTGGAAGAAATTGAATTGACCCTAATATTCATGCAGGGTCATTTCTAAATCTGGTTTGGATATTATTATTAATAATTCTTAATAGTTATTGTAATGCTTGCCTAGCGACAAAAATTCAGCAATTGTGGGTTTTGTGCATCTTCGTTTCCAGGAGACTTCTTTATACTGAGAAGCCTTCCTTAAGCTTGCTTTCGTGGTCAGCTGCAGAGACTTAGTGCCCTTTGTTTCCGTTTCCCCTCCAAGGCCTTTACTGCAACAGAACCTGGGACGGCTGGCTGTGCTGGAATGACGTCGCGGCAGGAACCGAGTCCATGCAGTATTGCCCTGACTACTTTCAGGACTTCGATCCTTCAGGTGGATGCTGGAATTTAGTCTCACATCTTATTGAAATCTGTTCAGTGAACATTGTGTTTATTAATGTATTTGGAGCCTATCGCAAAAGTAGTCTAGAAAGATTTGTAGTCTATAACTATCTTGATTTTAGCTTTCTATTTCTGAATTCATTTAACCAAAGAAAAAATTTGAATAGAAACTGTAGGTTTATTAAACTCTTTTTAAATTTTTTTCCTTTTTGTTATTAAAGAAAAGGTTACAAAGATCTGTGACCAAGATGGAAACTGGTTTAGACATCCGGATAGTAACAGAACATGGACAAATTACACTCTGTGTAACAACAGCACGCATGAAAAGGTGAAGGTATGTAGCAGCTGTGAGCTGAAGTCTGGTTCAGACTTTAAAACTGCTCCCTAAGCACTGGGGAAAGTAGTTGATGTTCCATTCCACACTAAAACCATTTCCTGGTATCATTTGAGAAGAACAATGGAAAAAAAAAATCTGTGGAAAAGCTGCTTTTATTTCAGACATTGTACCGGGGAAATAGTTCTGTTACGTAACCGTATATTTACAAGTCAATGGCTCAGTATAGGGGTTTCAGATTTTCCAGAGAAAATATAATTAAAAGTGTAATACAAGGGGAAACTTTAATTTCTAGTGGAATTCTAGAATTATTTCAGAAACTGTCCATAGGCAAACAGGATAAGCTTAGTGGGTTCTAAACCTCCACCTGCCCCTCAGTAGAAGGCACCCATACTAACTGGCTGTGCAAGACACTTTCATTCTTGTCCCTGCTATGACACTTAGAATTAAAGTCACAGTTAAGGACATTACTCACAGAGTAAAGCTTGACTGAAATACTTTCATGTAGTTTCAGTTTGTGTGTGTATGATTAAAAATGAGAACTTTGATATGAGCCTCCTGTTTTGGCACTTTGTCTGCCCCATGGCCATGGCAAGACACCCCTGGTGTGCTCACCAGGACAAGTGCACTTTCTTCAGTGGGTCTCGGAAGGCCCACTCAAAAACTTCATGGTGTCACTGTATTCATGTATCACGTATGCGCTGCCTATTCAGAGATGTTCCCAAACCCAAGCCAGCTGACCACCCACCCACCTACCCACAAAATCAACCACCCACCTACTCACCCACCCACCCACCCAGCCAACCAACCAATCAAACAACCATCCAAACAGCTAACCAACCAACCAACCAACCAACCAACCAACCAACCAACCAACCAAGTCAAACAACCACCCACCCACCTACCCACTCATCAAACCAACCAACCGACCGACCAACCAACCAACCAACCAACCAACCAACCAGTCAACCAACCAACCAACCAACCAACCAACCAACTAGTCAACCAACCAACCAACCAACCAACCAGTCAACCAACCTATCAGTCAACCAACCATCCTACTGACCAAACCTCTAAAAATATTAAAAGTAAATTGAAAAACAAAGAATGATCTTTCTATAGATCAAAGGATCTTTTAACTTTCCATAGTAAGATGTCTCTGAGCCTCAGATTCATGAGAAGAAACAGACACACTCAATAGGTAAAGAAAGCCTTATCAGGCATTTAATTCTGCACAAATTAAACCTTGAGTATCACTTGATTTTTAAATATAAAATGCAGATTTTGTGTACAGTATAAACTAGATAGGTAAATGCATTACCTCAAAGATTTAATATGTGACTTCTGATTTCTTAAAATGGAGCATGACTTATAAGTATTTGATAACTCACTTGGCATATATTTGAATAGATGTACTTCATTTACATGTTTTCAAGTATTTGTTGATTTTTCAAGCAAGTGATTATAAATCTAGCAACATGTTTTTTTTAAAATAAAATTTATTAAATTGTATCTTATCTAATACACAAGTAGATTTTAGATAAAGAATTAATTCTATTTTTTAAATCACACAATTATAGACTGCACTGAATTTATTCTACCTAACTATAATTGGACATGGATTATCTATTGCATCCCTGCTCATCTCTCTCATCATATTTTTTTATTTCAAGTAAGTATATTTAATTTTTAAAAAATTTTAAAACTGATAAATTAAGATTATGTATGTATTGAACTCATGTTCATGAGGAAGATTGGTCTGCAATTCTCTTTTTTAGTAATGTCTTTGTATGGTTTGAGTATCAGGGTAATTGTTGCCTTATAAAAAGAGTTTGACAATGTTCCTTCTATTTCTATTGTGTGGAACAATTTGAAGAATATTGGTATTAGTTCTTTCTTAAAAATATAGAATTCTGTGCTGAAAACATCTGGTCCAGGGTTGTTTTTTTTTTTTTTTTTTTTGGTTGGGAGACTTTTGATGACTGTTTCTATTTATTTAGCAGTTAGAGGTCTATTTAATTTGCTTATCTGGTCTTGATTTAATTTTGGTAAATGATATTTATCCAGAAAATTATCCATTTCCTTTAAGTTTTCCAATTTTGTGGAGTGTGAGTTTTTGAAGTATGACCTGATGATTCTCTGGATTTCCTCCATGTCTGTTGTTATGTCCCCCTTTTCTTTTCTGATTTTGTTAATTAGTCTCTCTGCCTTTTGGTTAGTTTTAATAACAGTTTGTAGTCAGAGACTATAGCATGAGGTTCTGCTTTTTGGGGTTTCTGTCCTGCTCAGTTCCCACAGCCGTTAAGACCCAAAGAAATCACATAGAGAAGTCTATATTAATAATAAACTGATTGACCCATTAGCTCAGGCTTCTTAACTCTGTAACTTATATTAACCCATTGTTCTTATCTTTGTTAGTGACATGGCTCAGTACCTTTTTTTAGCGGAGCAGGTCACATCCTGCTTCTTTGGTGTCTGGACAGGACTGGGGAGGAATGGGCTTCCTTTTTCCCGGAATTCTCCTGTTCTCTTTGACTTGCCTCTACTTGCTGTCTGATTGTCCTGCCTATACTTCCTGCCTGGCTTCTGACCAATCAGTGTTTATTTAAAACATTATTGACAGAATACATAATTGTCCCACACCAGGAGACTGCTCATTCATTTCCCAGTTGCCCAGACCCAAATAATAGCACAAAAACTATATTAATTACAATACTGTTTGGCCAATTGCTTAGGTTTCTTATGAACTAACTCTTATATCTTAAATTAACCCATAATTCTTGTCTGTGTTAGCCATGTGGCTTGGTAACTTTTATCAGTGAGGCATTCTCATCTTGCTTTTTCTGTGTCTGGGTGATGACTGCAGACTGAGCCTTTCCTCTTCCCAGAATTGTCCTATTCTGGTCACCCCATTTATACTTCCTGCATGCCTACTGGCCAGCCAACGTTTTATTAAACCACTGTGTAACCATTGCTGGCCTGAACCTGTGTGTGTAGACTAGACTACTTTCAAACTCACAGAGATCTGTCTACCTCTGCCTCCCAAGTGCTGGCATTAAAGGTGTGTGCCACCACTGCCTAGCTGCTATTCTAGCAGCTTTAAGATCAGCTTTCTTTATTTGCCTGAAGATAATCTTTAAAAATTTATATCAAGTACAGGCCTCACTTGTCATTCTCTGCTTAAAAATTTAGATTGCTTTTTGCTGCCCCTCATGTAAACACAAAACTATGAATGAGTCCTGCCTATCATCGTCTCTGCCTCTCTAGCTTGGTTAAATGTTTTATATCTGGGAACTGCACTTGATCATTTCTTCAGGAGACTCTCTCTGAATTCCTTACTGGAGCTGTAACCTATTTACAGTGGACACGATGTAAAAATTTGAAAGCATTTGAGAGACAACGATCTCTTTAAATTAAAAACCATCCCAGCTGAGACTCTTCAGATGAAACTGTCTCTTTTTTCATGTAATACGCCAAAACATCCCAGGACATTAAATTTCTGAAGGCGATAAAGTTAATGGCAATTACATTGCATTCCAAAACCAGCAGTAAGAAAGAAAACAATGGTCTCCTGGCATTTTACGTCATATGCCTTCATGCAATTCTGATTTAGCAAACATGTCAGTAAAATATCCACCAAGTGAGAATCAAAATTAATACTACTTCCTCATGTGAAAAAATCTAAGAGCTGATAAAATGCTCACTGGGCTTATGAGGCAAGTGGGGCTGCCAAGGCAAACAATACTGAAGCCAAACTGGACCAGGAAAAGTAGAGCATCGGTCTAAATCTCTGTCAGACTGCTCATTCATTCAGTTCTCAAAGGAGAAAACACTTTCATAATAAACGGGTTATCAAGGAGGTTGAGAAGTTAAAGCAAACAATATCTATTTTGATTATATCATTAAAGTACAAAGAACGTTAAGTCATAAAGGATTAAGATTCATAGCAATAGAAGCATAATAACCTCATGAGTATAAATAGCTATAATTAGGAATAGAGTTTGTACAGTAACGAAGAGGAGAGACTATGTGGCTTAATTTGAAAACCTCTTAATAGCTGAACGAAGTATAGTGAACATCTCTGGTTATCAATAGACCTCATTGTCACTCAAAGTTCTCAAAGAGAAATTGCTCACTAATCTATCAAGAATGTTGACATGGTTGGTCAGAGAAATGGTTCAGTCAGTAAGGTGCTCTGTCTGGAAGCATGAGGACTTGAGTTTGAATCTTCAGTACCCATGGACTAAGCTGGGAGCAGGAAACTACTGTCTGGAATTTCGTTGCTGGGAAGGTGGAGAAAGAAGGGCCCTATGGTCCTGCTGGTTAGCAAGCCTAGCCAACTTGGCAAACTCCATGTTCAGTGGATCATACTATTTTAAAAAAATAATTGAAAGAGTGGTTGAGGAAAATGTCTGGTGTCAACTGGTGGCCTCTACATGCATACACATGTGTGCATGTTTCCACACATGTACAACGAGCTGAACACTCTTATACACACAAAGGAATACTAGATAGTCAGCTGTTCTTGTTTTGGGTTTATAGGTGGGCTTGAAGGCTTATAATGTTCTTTCAAAGCCTAAGAATCTATGAATGGAGAAGTAATTTGAATTAGAATGAGTTATCTTTAGGTTAAAATATATAACATCAAAGAAACTGGTACTTTTGTGTGCAAAAGAAATTTACGTAGGTAAATAATCATTGACATAAATTTCTGGCTTAGTGTTTTGATGTCTCTACTTATGTATATTTTACTCTAAAAACAAAAGTCATTTGATGTGGGAGGTCCTTCTGTATATGTGTTGCTTTTACTGGTTAATGAATAAAGAATCTGCCTTGGTCTGTGATAGGGTAGAGTAGAGTTAGGTGGGGAAAACTAAACTGAATGTTGGGAGAAAGAAGGCCAAGTCGGAGATATCATGTAGCTCTGCCAGGGACAGATACCAGATGAAATCTTGCTGGCAAGCCACAGCCACATGGTGATACACAGATTAAAAGAAATGGGTTAAATTAATATGTAAGAGATAGCCAATAAGAAGCTAGAACTAATAGGCCAAGTAGTGATTTAAGTAATATAGCTTCTGTGTGATTATTTCAGTAGTCTGGGTGGCCGGGAAATGAACAAGCAGGCTTATACAATAATCATTCAACCAATATTTAAAGGTTAGGATTTAAAGCCTCCAAACTATCCATGGAAATCACTTTTTCAAAGATGAACTCATATATTTATTTGAAATATATTAGTTTCAAAGATATAATAGACAGATCCAAACCTCATTCCCCCCAAAGCCAGAAATTTCACGTTATCACAAATACTCCCGTATCTTGCACCTGGGCAGCAACATCAGCTGGGTCCTGCCCAGCTTATTCGTCCATGCTTGGAGGGAAGTGTGAGGATTAGGAAATGGCAGCTAGAAAAACACAGATACAAAAGAAAAGACAGACACAGGATAGAATCGGGAAGGCAACTAGTATAATTGAGATTCGCCCCTGCTGATTTCTCATAGGCTTTATCTACCCAACCCAAAGAGGAGGGGGAAGGCAAGAGGCTTTTTCACTAAGATGCAAAGAGCAAAGTAATCACCTTTCTCCATAGCCAAAGCATCAAGTAACCACACCCTAGGTCAGAATATTCTCCTAGCCATACCTTGGGTCAAACCTCCCTTCATAGAACCTGGATGGAGCAAAACCAGGTCTGAACTCTCTGATCTTTCGTCAATGTGAAATAGATTCGCTTCTGTGGGCTCCCACAGATGCTTTATATATAAACAGCCCATTATGTTATGTCGTAAAAAGATCAGGATATACAGTGTTAGAAATATGACCCCTCGAGTCCAAATAATTAGGAATAGAGTTTGAATAATAAGAAAGGAGAAGAAGCTAACAGTAGGTGGCACATGCCTTTTATCTCATGGGGGCAGACGTAGATCCTCTGAGTTTGAGGCCAGCCTAGTCTACAGAGAGAGTTCCAGGACAGCCAGGAGGGCTACACAGAGGAAACCTCTCATGGAAAAAATGATAAGAAATTATGTGGCTTAATTAAAAAAAATCTAGGAAAAAGAAATTAAAGAGCAATATATAATAAATACAAATATTTGTTATTTCCTAACATTTTTACTCTTAAAAATAATCATGTAGTGCCACACAAATGAAATATTCTAAAGCAGATGAATTGCTTGCCAATTTAAGAAATTTGGCTCTTGACCTCTACAAAAAATATTAAAAGACTGAAAATAGTTTCTTTGCATATACCTAATGTTTATACTAAAATTACAATGAGCTGTTTATTATACTGAACTTTATAAAAGAAAGCATCACACATTTTTTAATTGTGAGTTAGTATGACAGGCACACATTTGGATCTGAAAATAATTTTAACAAATGGGGCATATTTTAATCTTGATATCAATACTTATTCATAGTGTGTACTTCGCCTAATTCTGGCTATAAGCAAGCTCAATGTTTTCTTTTTCTAAAGTGAGCCGTCATGTTTTCAGTAGACTGTAGTATAATCACACACACATCTCCTCATCCTGGATTGGGATCCTTGACAAAGTACAGATGCCACAAGAGTCCAACTTGCTGAGACAATAAGTCTTTTTTGGGGTTACTTAGATGAAAATGGGGGAGGAGAAACTGGAGCAGCAATGACCCCTAGAGAGAAGCATCCCCAAG